CGCGCCTGTGTGAGTAACCGGTGTACGACGCGGTCCCGTGAGACGTACCGAATTTAAATTTCAAATTTGGAGCGTGTCGCTGGGTGTGACGGTATGCATAGCGTTGCCTGCCGGCCCTAACTCGCTTCACCGATCGCGCGTCTTTCTTCTCTCCGGAGTTCCATGTTCCTTTCTCCCACGGGCTCGCCGTATATCCGTCCATCTCCCGCGTTCTTTCCATTTATTCCTCCGTCTATCTTCCTCGCTCTCTGTTTCCTTTCTATCCGAGGAAGGAAAGAGCGGCCGCGCGATCCCCGATTTTTCATATTATTCGAATGGCAGATGGCGTGGTCGGGCATCGATACGCGGCGGGGAAAAAATTGAAGTCTCGGATAGCTGGCTTTTTCTGGGTTCGTCTAGCGACCAAAGTCAGACAACGACGTTCCGGAATCTTCTACTCGAGAAGGATTCGGTGGGGTTGCGGTCGATTGCCGAGATAGGATATGGATAAAAATTGCCACGAAATTCCCCATAGGAGGATGGAGAGCGAGTTCGACGTGGAAAGATCGATGTCCGTTCTCGATGTGGGGTTGTTATCGTAAAAACGGGCTCGATTTCCAATTATCGTTACGCAAGAAGAGGCTTTCTCCCGAGCTACGTCGATGCAGTCGCGGTCGTCTCGATTCCGTCGGAGCACAATGCGTTCCTCTAATCGGAGACGATCGCTCACGCACACGCATCCACCTCGACTCGGTGAAAGAAATGAGAATGCCCGGTTGAACGATAAATCAATAGCCGAGGTCGACGAAGGAGATGGATGAGTGACGTAACGAGCCTGTTCTTACCATATGCTTGTAAGAGGTCGGCTCTCGCACGTATATAACCGGAGGTACGATTGAATCGCGCGGGGGAACCTGTTGCCCGATCCGAGACGAGCGGCTACTCCAAGGCGATTAAGATTACGATTTCGCCTCCTGCGCGCACGCACACCTGCGCGTTGCCTCTTTCTCCGAACAACCTCCAAGATCGGCCAGACTCGATCCTCCACGATATGAGATCGTCTCTGTCCTGTGGCTGGCCATTCACTAGCACCGACACGCCGGAAAGTCGATCACCGGAGCTTGATCTTTTAAATGTCACGATTTACCCGGTCTGTTCCGACCGCATCGCATAGGTCCAAGGAACCACGAGAGCAAAGCGCATCCCCCCCCCCCCCCCCCCC